GACTTCTCACAAACTAAGAACATTGTCCTAGTTAGGGTTTCTATTGTTGTGAAGAGACACCATAACCACAGCAACTCTTAAATGGAAAGCATTAATTGGGGTGGCTTACAGTTAGGTGGTTTAGTCTATTATCACCATGGTGGGACACGATGGAGTACAAGCTGCCAGAAGGAACTGAGTGAGAGTTCTACATCTTGATACAAAGGCAGCAGGAACTGATTTTTTTTCTAAGACAGGGTTTCTCTGTATTACTTTGGAGCCTGTTCTGGAACTCACTCTGTAGACCAGGCTGGCCTCAAACTCATAGAGATCCGCCTGCCTCTGCCTCCCAAGTGCTAGGATTAAAGGTGTGTGCCACCAACGCCCCGCTTGAAACTGAATTTTTTGTCACACTGGGCATAGCTTGAACACCTCAAAGCCTGCCCCCCCATGATACCCTTTCCTCCACAAGGCCACACCTACACCAAGAAAGCCACACCTCCTAAGAGTGCCACTCCCTTTGAGGGCCATTTTCTTTCAAATCACACCACACACACTCTCTGCCTCTAAGTTACACTTTAGTACCCAAATAATTTTGTATGGTTTGTAAAGGCATTTAAAGGTTATCTCATAAAAAGTTCTGGGTGCTCAAATGCATTTTAAAGAACTTCTCCTTAGGAAAAAAATAATTAAATTGCATGAATTTAGGACTGTCCAGAAATCATGAACTCCATAATAAAAAAATTAATACTGCTTGTCACATCAATAAAAAGACGGCAACTTATACATCTCCAGTGTTCTGTGTGAATAAAAATCTTAAATGAACCCAAAAAATCAACAGGCTGTTGTTTAGGAAATTGATTTCAAAAGAAATTAACTTACTCATTTAATATGTTTTCTTACCAACAGTGGCAGGGGCCACTCACTGAGCCACAACTTCCCATTTCGGCACCGGTTTCTCCTGGGCACTATGGCAGCAGGCGAAAGCTCCTCGCAGACCCCCACGGAAGGAGAGCTTGCTTCCCAGGGGAAGCTCACTTCCCATTGGGCTTCACTGTGCCATGTGTTCATCCCCAAACACAGGACAAGACTACATTGGTATCTCATGGGTTTGGTTTTTTTATTGCCAAATCTGATCAACTTAAAGCAGACGTGTATTCCTTCCTATATTTGGATAGCAGGGCTCAGGATCACGGAGTTTGTGCAGCCATGCTGCCTCTCTATACAAGAGGGAAGCTTCTGTTCCTGTCTTTACCAGAATCACGGAGTTTGTGCAGCCACGCTGCCTCTTGATACAAGAGGGAAGCTTCTGTTCCTGTCTTTACCAGCTTGCCATGGCTCTGGGAACTTACTGGTTTGTGACTTCAGTCTCTGGGGTCACACTGCCCCCTCACTTACTCTGTTTGTATGTGTCACCCTGCCTTCTCCTTGTCTCATAATACAGGTTTATCTCATCCAAATTCTTAATGTAATTACAGCTACAAAGACCTTTATTCAAATGAGGCTATTGTCACACGTTCTGGGAAATGGGATGTAGAACTTATCTTTGGGGGGCCACTCAGTAGAGCTGGCAACTATTTAACAATATCCTCCTAAGGAAAGGGGAGTCCTTCTCAATAACACTGGTCTTGTTCCGTCAGTTCTGCCTCCATAGTGAACTCCAGGCTATTGAGGGGAAACCACAGACCATAGAACGGAGGTGCCAGCAGACTGCCACTATACAGTTTTTCCACTTACAGAGCCAGTAGATGCAAGCAACCTGGAGATCCCCAGTGGTGACAAAATGTACTCAAATGAAAAAGAAGGAAGAAGGCATGAGAATTGCTCCTTTTGAGACTGTTAAGTTTATCTCATTGTAAAATTCTGTGCTTTGAATTGCTTTGGAAACTGAGTGTAACAAATGGCTCAAGAGTTCGTTGACTTTTTACCAGCTGATTCATATGTGTCAATGGGAGCTGGCATCAGTCAGCATCCCGTTCAACAGGATATGTCAAGTGATGAGGTCCTGAGTCATCAAGCTTAGGGTGGATAGCTGGTCAGCAATAACTACAGCATGTGAACTGAAAACGGGGTTATCACTTCTTTCAGGGAAGGTTGGAGTGTTGGTACCTAAAGAAGGGGACAGGAGAACCCTAATAAATCACTTTCAGAATCTTTTAAATATACTGGTGCATTACATATTTAAACTTTTTTTTTTGGTTTTTTTTGGTTTTTCGAGACAGGGTTTCTCTGTGGCTTTGGATGCTGTCCTGGAACTCACTTTGTAGACCAGGCTGGCCTCGAACTCACAGAGATCCGCCTGCCTCTGCCTCCCGAGTGCTGGGATTAAAGGTGTACGCCACCACCGCCCGGCTAAACTTTTATTTTATATTTAATTATGTGTATATGTGTGTCTGTGTATGGGTATGTGCACATATATTAGTGAAAGACAGGAGAGGGCATGGATACTCTGGAGCTAAGCTAGAGTTACAGGTGGTTGTGAGACACCCAGCATGGGTGTTAAAAACTGAACTCAGGCCCTGTTCTGGCTAGCTGGTTATGACAACTTGACACAAGCTAGAGGTATCTGAGAGTAGGGAACCTCAATTGAGAAAATGCCTCCATAAGATGAGGCTGTAGGGCATTTTCTTAATTTGGTGATTGATGGGGGAGGGTCTAGTCCTTTGTGGGTGTGGTCCTGGGTTTCATAAGACAGAAAGCTGAGCAAATCATGAGGGGCAAGTCAGTGAGCAACACTTCTTCTCCGTGGTCTCTACATCAGTTCCTGCCTTAAGGGTCCAGCCCTGCTGGAGTTCCTGTCCCGACTTCCTTCAGTGATACACCACAATGTGGAAGTGTAAGCCAAATAAACCCGTTCCTCCCCAGCCTGCTTTGGGTCACAGTGTTTCATCACTGCAATAGAAACATTGGTACCACAACAGTGAGGTACTTCTGCGGCAGGCCTGACCACGTTGTTTTGGGGAGGATTGTGGACAGACTTTGGAACTTGGTGCTAGAAAAGCCATTGGGTGTTGAGAGCTTAGTGAGCTGCTGTGTAGGAGATTGGAAGATAAGAATGTTGAAAGCAGTACAGATGATGGAGGCCTGGACTGTGAAGTTCCAGAGAGAAGGAAAGACTCTACTGGGCATTGTTGAGTTAAGAATTTGTAGTTCTGATTAGCTGGGGCTGAAGAATTTTCTGTGATTAACAAAAGACCAGAACCAATGAAGTAAAACCTTTGTTTTACTGGGGCAATAGGAACTGGTCAGCTGGAGCTGAGAAATTAGTGGTGATTAAGAAGAGGCCAGCATCATTGAGGTGACATCTTTTGGGAAGTGATTCCTCAGAATCTGCATACGAGAGCTGTTCCAGAGGTGGCCATGGTCATACCTTGCGCTAGCAGCCAAACTTGGTAGTGTAAGAGTAACCCAAGTGATACTGGTTTTGAAGGCATGAAGGGGCCATGGTGAACAGCTGAGACTTGGGACTGTGAGAGGCCAGGATAGGTCATTGGCGAAGGTGTAAGCCTCAGTTGAAACCCCAGAATTGAAGTGGTCATGGAGGAAAATTGATGTTTGGCACCATGAAGAGAGCCCAAGAGAGGCTGTTTGTGAAAGTGCAGACCCGTTGCAGCAGAAGACTGCCAGTGCCGAAAAGTGACCACCAGGGACAGCAGCAGTAGAGGAATGTAGCCAGTGGGAGCCAGGAAGAGAGACTGTGTGTGCTGCAGAGCCAGAGAAGTGACTCAAGCCCTTTGGAGGAGCCCAGGAGACTGCGAGCGAATCTCAGACATTGGTTGTTAAGTTATTTATACTGTTGGAGTTTAGTTTTGCTTTGTTCAGATTTTGACTGTTCCCTGCTTCTCCCTCTTGAAGTGAGACACTAATTTACTTTCGATTTTACAGGTGTCCATAGTTGAGAGGTTTTCAGTCTTAAAAGACTTTGGATTTTCAAATAGACTGCCTATATTGAAGAGGTTGAATTTTTAAAGACTGTGGGGCTATAAATTTAGAATGTTTGAGCTGGGCATTGGTGTGCACATCTTCGATCCCAGCACTCGGGAGGCAGAGGCAGGCAGATCTCTGTGAATTCGAGGTCAGTCTGGTCTACAGAGTGAGTTCCAGGACAGCCTCCAAAACAATACAGAGAAACCCTGTCTCGAAAAACCAAAAAATTTTTGGAATGTTTGTATTATAGTGTTGAGATTAATGTGTGATCTTGGGGAAGAACAAGAAAGGAGTAGTTATATCTCAACAGTGATGTGTTTGTGTGTCAAGTTGACAAGAGGTCGACTGTGCTGGCTAGTTTTATTTCAACTTGCCACAAACTAGAGTTATCTGAAAGGAGGGAATATCAATTGAGAACATGTCCCCGTGAGATCAGGCTGTAGGGCGTTTCCTTGGTGATTGGTGGGGAATCACTGGGCCCCACCAATGGGCCCAGTCCATTGGTGGTGGGTTCATCCCTGGGCTGGTGACCCTGGGTTCTGTAAGAAAGCAGGCTGAACAAGCCACTAGGAGCAAACCAGTAAGCAGCACTCCTCCATGGCTTCTGCATCAGCTCCTGCCTTCAGAGGCCAGCTCTGCTTGAGATCTGTCCTGACTTCCTTCAGTGATGGACTGTGATGCGGAAGAGAAGCCAAATAAACCCTTCCTCCCCAGGTCACTTTCCGTCATGGTGCCTCATCACAGCACTGGAAACCCCAACTAGGATGGCCCATTGCAAGAAACCCCAACTAGGATGGTCCATTGCAAGAGCAACACATACCCTTAAGCACAATAAGCCACCTACCTCCCCAGCCCCCATCTAAATATAATTTAATGACTTTCTATCAATGAAAATCCTGTATTTTTATTAAGTTCAAAGAGGGCGTAGATATGAGCATTGTGGGTATCGGTCAAGGCTCATGTCAGGATCTCTCCAGGAAACTCAGTGCATTTTTACATTCTCCTTTCTGCTTGTAGGATCTACTTTTAATTTTGGACATATTTATTGGAAGGCAAATAGACTCAAAGGAAGAAAGACAGTCCAGGTCTTAAGGTATCTTTTTAAAAATATTAGCTTTATTGACGTATAATCTGTGCACCATGCAATTCTCCCATTTACAAGTAAAATTCAGTGGTCTTTAAATGCAGTTATCAAGTGCAACCATCATTTCAACCAATTCAAGAACATTTTCATCACCACCCAGAGAAATTCTTTACCGTTCTTCTATCTCCCAAAGTCCAGTCCCTCTCTCCAAGTCCCAGCCAACCACCGTTCTGTTTTCTCTATATGTAGTATGCCTATATAATCCAGAAATATGGAGTGGATGCCTTCCCTTTTGATTGTTACTGCTACTTAGGAAGATGTTTAAAAAGTCACCCATGCTGCCATCTCTATCATGTCATAGCTTTCTGCTGCTTGCTAGTATTCCATTATATACATGTACCACTTTACGCTCACCCGTTCATCGGTAGGCGTTTGAATTCTTTCCCCTTTCTGCCTATACTGGAAACGCTGCTGTGGACACCTCCTCCCCTCCCACTTTTCTTTCCCAGTGCCGGGGATTGAGCCTTGGACCACGCTCATTGCTATACAAGCATTCCATGACTGAACTATATCCTAGTCCCACCGATGCTATGAATAGTTTTGTCCATGTTTTATGTCAATTTTCAATTTTTCTTATGAATAAGGGAACTGTATTTTAGAACTTAACTCAGGAATGCCATGTAACAATTTCAAGTCCCTTCAATATGGGATCATCCCTTTTCTTAAATTCTACTGCTTCTTGGTAGTGGAGGAGGAGAGTCTGTCTCTTGGGACAGAGTGGGAGCTGGCTAACTTGGGATTCCTAGACTCAGGAGCAGGTGCTATAGAATTTCTTTTGCTGTACCAAGTACGGGCCTTGCCCGCAGAAGGTTCACAACTTTTAGCCCATCACAATCTTCTTCCAAAGGCTCTGTGTCCACAAATTGTAGAGAAGAACAGAAGAACAAAAATGAGTCTGAAAAGTTAGAGACTTGGGGACATTTACAGGGAAGAAGCTCGGTGGGGGAGGAAGGGCGGTCTGGGGGAGGGCTGAGAAGCAACTTCTCCGACACAGGCCAGTGAGGGCCTCACTCTGTCCCTGGCGTGACATGGAAGCATCGTCCTGTGTGTCCTGTCGGCCTGCAACGAGAAAGGGGGCTCTATATTAATTTATAGCAGCCTTCTTCCAAGAAATGCAGAGTGTCTCAAAAGGCTTTCCCTTACTCCCTGGAGGGAAAATGCATAAAACTTACATAGGAAATAACTCCTTTTAAAATGTACACTCCACAGTTAGTGCTGGGCAGAAACAGAACCAGCAAAGCAGGCCTCCAGACCAAACATTCCATTACTGTCAGTATGCTTTGTAAATAAATGCACCGAGGGTCTCTACGGCAGCCCCGTGACTCTGCTCACTGATGATGGCATTTCTTTCACCGGGATGTAAACTTTTTCTCCCAGTTATCACCCTCTGGTAGGACCTGCTCCAGGTAATGGAAAGATAGCTTACTGCACAGCCCCCTGTACTGGTGGCCCCCGCTTTACTTTATCCTCCAGCTTGGACCTCCCAACCGGGGACTGAGGAAGGAGCCGTGGGACAGCTTAGCATAGAGGGAGAAGAGTTTTTGTCTTAGTTTTATTTCTGATGCTGTAATAAAAGACACTCTGACAAAAAGTACCATATGAGGAACGGGGTTTATGCAGCCTGCAGTTCAAGGTTACCACCAGTGACTGAGGGGAAGGCAAGGCAGGAACCTGAGACGGCTGGTCACATCACATGGACAGTCAAGAGCAGGGGGAATGAATGCATTCTTGTCCACTGGCTTGCCTATGCTCAGCTGGATTTCCCCACTCATAACAGTGTAGAACGTCTGCTGAGGCAATGTTTGGACCCACAGTGGGCTGGGTCTTCACACATCAGTAAGTTTAATTAAGACAATCCCTACAGACATGTACTCAGTCCAGCCCAGTGTAGACAATCCCTTCCTGAGACTCTCACCACGTGATTACTGGTTATGTCAAAGATATTAAAGATATTAAAACTATCTTTAATCTTTAACCCTTTGTCAACTTGATGCACAAACATGCACTTTTAAACCATACTGTCCCACTCCTAATACCCACAGTCTCTACCGAGGGTCTTGGGAAATAGTTCAATTGATAAAATACCAGCCACACAAGCATAAAAACCTGATTTCAAATCCCTAGTACTCATATAAAGGTCTTCATGCTGGTGTGTCTGTAATCTCAGGGCTGGGCTAAGGGTAGAGACAGGAAGATCTCAAGAGTTCTTTAGGGAGTCAGTGAGGACCATTGATGAGCTCTCTGTCTGGCACAAGACACTGTCTCAAAAAATAAGATGAAGAGAAATTGAGAAAGATGCCTGGCCTCTGGTCTGTACACACGTGCATGTGTGCACACAGCTTGCTTATGCAGGCCCTACACACAGAGACAAAAATATAACTTGATTTTTTAAGAGAGATACTTGTGTTGTGAGGTCCTTAGGGCTTAACTATAAGAAAAATAATTGGTCAGGGCCACATTAGTTCATCTCAGAGAATTGTACGTGGAAAGATTTGTGACTTTCCTTCCTCCCTGGCAAGCTTCTGTATTCTATAAATCCTTTTCCAGTGATGATCAGAAATTGGAAATTTTAATCCACTTAACAACAACAACAAAAATCAATGCAATGTCCCAGGGTTCCTCTAGTTTTTTGGGGGGGATGAGCAGGCAGCTCCCATAATTTTAACAAATCATTACTTAAAATTAATATTATGTGTCAACTACACAAGTTCTATTATGTCTGGAAGCGTAGTCAAAGATGAAAAGGCAGGACCCCTGTTGGAAATTAAGAATTTGAAAATGGAGCAAGCAAAACACCAAGGCAAACATGGGCCATTTCTAAGTAAGGGATCTTGAGTGATTGTTCATACTGCACACCCGTAAAGGCCAGCCCTCCTGCCAACATTTAAAAATAAAAGACTCTCACACTGGAAAATCTGTTGACACAGGATCTGCATCTCCAAATGACTGCACATAATTGGCTGGTGCCAAATAGTAGCTTGCGTTAGTTTGATGGAAGTGCCATAATCAAATGCCACAAAACCCAGTGACTTACACAAAGAAAATCTGTCACCTCTCAGTTTGAGTCTCGAATCTGAGACCAAGGCATCAGCAGGGCTGATTTCTTCTGAGGATCCCTCCTTGGCTCCTATCTGGTCTCTTTGTCCTTGTGTCTTCCTGCGGTCTCGCTCGGCACATGTCTGTGTCAACATCTTCTTATCAGAGCCCCATCGGTCACCTCAGATTAAGGCTTATCTCACTCAAACATAATTATGTCTCTAGAGAGGCTGTCTCCAGGGGCTCAGCAGGTAAAGGTGCTTGCTGCCAACATTAATGATCTGAATGTGATCCCCAGAACCCAAAACCTGGGAAGCCAACCCCTGAATGTTGACCTCTGACCTCCGTAAGTGCATATGAACAATAAATAAGTAGATAAAGCAATAAATAAATGAGCCTATCTCCAAACACAGCTCCATTCTGAGGCTCTGGGGATATATAACATGAATTTGAGCGGTAACATGACTTTTTGAAGCGTGCAGCTTCACCCATACCATGGTTGTTTCCCTTAAATGGGGACACAGTGCTCTGAGTCACTGAACTGGCCATCTGGTAAACCTTCCCACCCAGGGTTTTTCCCCTTCCTGGGACAGTGTTACCACAGGCCATCTCATCTGAGTACTGCTCCTCCTCCTGGCTCGCTTCTCACAGAGAGCCAGCCACCAGCTCTTCCAGACAGTGTATGGACCTGTGACACTCTCTCATATGGGACAACAGCTGCACACTCACGTCACAGCTGCAGAACTAAGGTTGATGCTCAAGTGACCTTCACGGGGCGGGGGTCATGAGATGCCTAATAAACAGTGATATAATGCACTGTGCCCATTACACAGAGATAGTGATTGAAGACGGTGCAGGAGGAAGGGGCTGCCGTGAGGCATAACCAACTGCTTGTGTCAGAGACGGGACATACAGGTTTGAGGAGTGCAAAACTCCCAGTGGCGCCATAATTCTTCCTCAGGGCTGATCACCTGACTAGATGAGGAATGGCTGTAAATTTTGATGGAAATTCAGTCTGGTCTTCATACCTAGTTGCAGAGAAATGTTAGCCAGATTATAGCTGAAAACTCTGCTGATTCTGGGGACGTTTTGGTCTAGTGCCTGGAACAATTAAAGCATGTATTCACACCTACCACACTCGACGCTGAGCAGAATTTCCAGCACAACACTTAGTACTTTATTTTTAAAAGAAATAGCAGTGACTGAATCGTGCTAACTCTGCGGCTTCCTAGCTGAGCCTTGTGAGGGTGAGGGGCTTCTGGGCTGAGAAGAGATACATTTTGTGCTTTTAAAAATCTTTGCTCAGAATCAGGAAACTTTGGATGTTGAAACACGCCTGCACCTGCACAGACATTACCAAATCCCATTTGCAGGGCTCTAAGAGGAGGTGACTCTGTGTACTGCTTATTCAGTACTGTAACTTAAAGGAGTCGTTAAAAACATCTTACCCAAAACTCTTCGCTTTTGAGCCAAGGAACAAAAGGTTCTGAAATTTCAGATGGCTCCCCCACCCCCACCCCGGCCCAGAACTGCACCCACAATGCAGTTGCTGCTGTTTTCAGACCAGTGTGCTCGCCACCTAAAGGGGTTGCTTTTAAGCAGGCTTTGTCCTGTTAGCCTAAACTGTGTGCAAAGAAAACCAAATGAAGCAAACTAGAGCACACACACACACCCTGCTCTCTCTATAGCAGTCTCTACTTAGACTCCGGAATTGAGAAAGAAAGGCCACTTCTACTCCAACTAGCTTAGCGAACAAAAGAAACTTCTCTGTGGTTGGTTTAGGCAGCTCTGGGCTGCTGCTCTCCACACAGTGCTCTGGAATCTGATGTGAGTCTAACACCAGGGGGCGCAGTATCCTTTGTCCTGGCCAGAGATGAACGTAGGCTCTGCCGCCTGGCTGGGCCTTCAAGAAAGTTGATTCCCCCCCACACACACTTCCACAGTTTCTTCTGGGAACTAGCCAACTCCCCACGCTCCCTCAACTCTTCTCCGTCCTTCCTAGAGGCCCTCAGAGTCTCCCCACAGTCTCAGATGTGTGCGGGCTGCAGGGTTACTAGGAAGAACCAACATCCCCTTCCCATGGCGGCTCCTCTGCTAAGTTTAGGAGACCCTACCAGTGAGTGGCCAATCATTTCTTATCATTAGGCCCCAAAGTTAAAAGTTTAAAAAGATTTTTTTAAATCAAGACAAAATGAGCATTACATGACAATTGGCATATATCCATCCTTCTCTCTCTCTCTCTCTCTCTCTCTCTCTCTCTCTCTCTCACACACACACACACACACACACGCGCGCGCGCGCGCGCGCGCACGTAATAAATAATTGTTTCTAGAAAGCTGCTACCCTCTTGCAGGTATGTGCCCCCAACAGTCTATGAATAGCCTTTGGTAGTGAATACTTTCCAAAGGGACGGGCTTAAGCATCTTTTAGGCCACACCTCTGCTGCTCTTAGACAACCACTCTGTACAGTGTGCCTGCATCTCCAAGTCCTAACCATCTTGTCTTACTGCACACATGCTGAAGCCCCCCCCATATCAGAGACCCCGTGCTCCCATTCCCGCATAGAAATGAGCATCTCCTTTCACTTTGTGACCACTGGCCACCAAAAGCACAGGCTTTCGCACTGTCCCCAGACTCCCTGGGTGTCCTGGCTCACACCTTCAACCCCAGGACTCAGGGGGCAGAGGCAGACAAATCTCTGTGAATTTGAGGCCCGGGCTGTTCCTCATAGCCAGTTCCAGGAGAAAAACAGCCCCCTCTGTCTCAAGAAAAACACAAAACCCTAATTCTTTGTTGTTCTAACTGCACATCTTCGAAAAGCAGCAATTACATTTATAGAGAGAGAATTGAAATTTACAATCCTTTTTCCTGTCTCTCATCGGAGTCTCCCAACAACTAACTCTAAAGGATAGACAGGGAAATCCGAAGCTTACTAGGTATGCTCCAGTCCTGGCCTACCACAGGGTGGACGCAGTCTTAGCGTCTTGGTCATGAGGTTTGGAGGAGGACAGTTTGTACAGTTA